GCTTGAAAAGTAAGCAAGGATAGTAGATTCCACCTCTGTATACCGTGCAGCCTCTCACTTGTAAGCTTCTGCCTAAGGCAAAGGCTCTCCTTTTCTTCTTCTTTCAGCTAAGGAGTAAGATTTTTATCTGATGTTTTTGGTTGGACAAATATAATTTGGGCTCCAGACATCCCTGGAATTGTCTGTCTGGAGGTACCATGTGTCATCGCACCAGAACTCAGGGATAGATGGAAACAAAGGTACCTGGACCAAGGCTCAAAATTCACTGAAGGAAAAAATTCCCTGAAGCATGGGTTGTCCTGCACTAGCTGCCAGATTTCAGAGATGAGACACATTTGCTGGAGACTTTCAATCAAGAAAAGTGGGATGGCAAATAGGCAGCAGTTAAGGAAAAGATGATCACTACCATTACTGTCTACATTGGACTCTTGTGAGCTTTATGTGAGGAAATTCCAAAACGCTACTTTGTGCATCTAATTAACCTTATATCTAGATCAAGAACACCTCTAACCTCTCGGAAATCTTTTCTCTCATGACACACAGACATGAACAACATTGTACAGCATAAGAAGTGCTACTGTTTGCAAGCACAAGGTGTCATGAAACCTTTTGCAAGTTGAGCTACTAACCTAACCAGAGAGGTTAAGAGAGCCTGGGAAACAGATGGCTGGCAAAAGCAGTAGTGTTTTAACCCCACTTGGCATGCCGTGACAATTTGCCTGCCCTCCCTGGCTTCGAAACAAGACATATCTCTTAGGAGGTTCCTATCAAATAACATGGCAGCAAGTTTGATCACTAAAATAGTGACATCATGTAGGTTTTAATTTACAGTGTACCCAGATTTTCACTAAATGCAAAGACTCAGAAGTTAGCCAGGACTTTAGTCTACACATCTTATAAAAATGTCTGTGAAGTAATATAGTTTCTGTTTACAGTAAGTGAAAGAATAGTCCTTCAAATAAGGCAGCCATTATCTGATGGGCTATTCTGTAGGGCACTGTACTTTTCATGTTCCCATTTATGTATCGAATCAGAGGAGACTTCCCTATCTCACTATCCCCCACTATCATATTAGGAGCTCTCAAAGGCTCCCTGCTTTGTCTATCGGTACACTGTGGACTTCCCTGGCCCATGATACATGTGTCTACCCAAGGCGAGGCTCAGAAAGTAGGTCATCTTTTATGTTACTCAGAATGCTGAAGGGCTCAAGGATTCCCACTGCGGTCTAGACAGTCACGATATTTAGTGCCTAGAATTGGAGGTTGGGTGAATGATCAAAGAGTGAAACTGAGGACTCTTTGCCAACTTCTGCAGTTCCTCAGATACATGGCACCCTTCCATAACCATCTTCCCACAAAGCCTCGAACCGAACCATTACTCAGACTGAAGAACTGCCGTAGAGTTTGGGGAAAGAATGGCCTAGTACAAAACTAGTGTTGCACAACAGCTCAGAAAGTTGGGTCTTTGTGATGAATGAGAGACAGTCACAGAAATGGGACTCCATATATTGTAGGGACAGAAAGGTGACACCTTTTCTCACCGGCATAATTGTGGTGGCTGATGCTCCTTTAAAAACACAGGCCAACAAGAGAAGTATGTAACACATTTAATCAAAAGTTTTATGTATTATAAGGGTTTTGGAAACAAAGACCCACGGAAAATGGCCTGTTCTTTTGCTTATGTTTCATGAAAAATGGTCAGTCATGTAGAAATGTGATTGGGCAAAAGGTATGATGTAATGGTAACAGACGGCCAGGGGAAACCGCACAAGGCCTTTCCAGATTCTTCTTGGCCTCTCTGTGTAGCATGGCTTCTTCCAGGGTATGGCAGGATTCATTTGGAATGGGGCTAAAGAAATCCAAAGGGAGACAAGCGAGTGGCCTTTTCAGGTTTTATGACTTGCTTTGGGGAGGGGGAACAGGGTCCTAGTTTCTATCACTGTCCTTGACGAAGAGGAATCCTGGTGCCTGTGACTCATATTGGGATTAAAGAGGGAAAAGACAGAAAGGTAACAAAAAGTCAGAGAGGTCTTAGTTTTGAAACCTCACATTCTCCTTCAGCTCAATGGACTCTGTAGGCCAAAATGCCATACTTTGGGATACTGTATTTTGATCCCAAGCAGCATAAAACCACTGGATCTGATAACCATCTGGTCTTTTATTCATTCACTTTCTCTGGTTTTAATCCCAGATGTGACAATGGACTGTGATTCTACACTGCATTTGCATTTGGTAATTTTCATTGTGCTACCCTAGAAACTGATCCTAGGAAAAACACCCAAAGCTATTTGGACTTAGTTTTTGGCATCCTGCCTGTTCTAACCTGATGTATTACCCTTTCCTTTTGTTTTACCTTTAATATCCTTGTCTCAATTGTACCAGCTCTTGGAAACTTCACTCTGCTATGTGACTAGAGCAGGGAGGATCATTCACTTTGTATTCTACATTCAAGGATTTCACATTCTGGCTTTGGCAAATCCTCGGGTCAGCATTACATAGAGAAGCATAAACTGTCAGAATAAAATGAGTAAAATTTCTCAATAATATTAGTGTCTGTTGGTGCATCTAGTAGGAAATGATTCCATCTAATACAATTACAAGCATTTTCTATTCAGCAAGGTTGTTTTTTCATGTTAGCCAAATTTTTAAATCTTTTAGGTTTAAAAAAGAAATCTACCATTGTTCTCATGAAGAAGTCATTTTTTTCAGAGAGCTGTGTCTTTCATTCTTGATTTGAATTTGGTCAAGGCTGTTAGCTTGACAAGCTCCCCAGACTGCAGCTCACATTCACCAACCTGTAACCCTTATGAGGCTTATGATGAGAATCTGAGAGAAATGTGGGCATAGCACTAAAGTTCTGATAGAGTAGCATTTCATCAACAAGTGAAAGCCATCTGCAGCAGCATTAATACCAAAATTAATACCAAGATTGTTTAAGTGTCCACTGGTTCTCGAATTGCACATTAAACCCAAAACCAAAGGTCTGACCTTAGCTCAGAATAGTGAACCACCTAAGAAAATTCATTTAAAACTACCAGTGAAAGCCTTTCAGACAAAAAGTGTCCTAAGGCAATTGTAAACTGAACAACGACACTTTAGTGTTAACAAATTAACTAGGTTTATCTGAAATTTTCTACCTCCAATTCTCTGCAATTCTACTTCACATCCCAAGTGAGGTTATGAAAATATTTTTCTTACTGTAAAAAGAGAGGAATGAAACCCATCTTTGTTTTCTGCTTTTGAAAGGAACTCATTGTCCCTGCATGCTATGTGGCTGCTCATTTAGCTTATTTTGGGGTAGGTGGGAGGGGGCCATGGTGAAGTGAGCATCTGACTGTGAAAGCCTCCATCATCCTTGTTAATTTCAAGGTAGTTAATCTTTTCAGCTCCCTTAATGAACTGTGAAATACAAGAGTCTCTCCAATCACAAACAGGAACTCAGTAAGAGATCCCAGAGGGAATGAGGGCTCTGGCAAAGAAGAAAGATACCTTCTTGTGCAAGCTGTGACAGGGACAGATGTGTGGCACAGTCTCCTGGGTAGGTGTCTCTAACCGCTGAGGCTCTATTGCCTGAGAAGATAGCCAGTTTAGAAACTAATTAGTGAAAGTGCTGAGTGTCAGCCATCCATGGCAGGGAGAGCTAAGGAGAGAACTGAGGAGACAGAGAATGGTATAAACATCCCAGACCAGTGACAAGGAAGCCAGGACTAGAAGTGAGCAGAAGTTTATCATCAAAACCCTTGTCCAGATCGTACCGGGAGACAAATTCACTTCCCCATTTGGAAAATCAAATTCGTTGTTCCAACTTCACAACGCCTGATGGTCTTTTAAAGGTTATTAGTGCAAGTTTTAACATTTTGGGTCACTCCTACCCATACGTGAGAGTATAGAGTTGTTGACCTGGACTTCTGGGAAGGGCACCCTCAGAGTGAGAAGGAACAGTAGACTTGAAATTGGAAGTTCAGTTACTAGAGGATTCTTCTCCAGTGAGCCAGTGCTTAACCGTACAGCTTAAAAATGCTGGTTTTAGTTCTCTCACAGCATATTATGAAAATCAACTTCTCTTGTATATCTTAAGTATAAAGCTTGATATAAACTGATCTTTAAACATCTGTGAACTGGGCATGGTGTGCATGCTGAAATCCCAGCACTCTGGGAGTGTGAGGCAAGAGGATTGAAGTCTGAGTCCAGCCCAGACAAAGTTAGCAAGGCCCTGTTTCAAAATAAAAGGTAAAAAAGGCTGGAGATACAGCTCAGTGTAAAGATCCTGGGTTTAATTCCCAGAACCAACAGAGAAGAAGGAGGAGGAGAAGAAGGAAGAGAAAGAGAAAGAAGAAAAGGAGAAGGAAAAAGAAGAGGGAGAAGAAGGAGAAAGAAAAAAAATAGGAAATTTAAAAGTCCTCTGTGGAATATGACCACCAGCGCCAGCCATGATGAGGCAGAGAGAACAGAGGAAATGACATCACCTCGCTAAATTATTTTCTAATTTCTGTACATAGAATATCTTTCTCTACCAGACTATAAGTTCTCTGGTAAAAACTAAGTCTCAGGCAACTTCATGTATCTTAGAAAGCACAACCATCATCCTTAATGGGCGGTGGTTGCCTGTAAATATTTGCCGAATTGTACTGCCTAGCTTCGGCTCCAAAGGTATGTATCAATTCGTCAAGAGGGGAGATGGAACAGGAATCTGAGACTGTCCTGTGGTCCTTGCTGCATTTCTGCCTGTTCTGTCTCAAGCACAGCCGCTTCTGGGCACTCTAACCACTTAGAGCTCCACAGGCTTCCCAAAGGGGCAGCTTTGTGCAGCCAAAAGCCAGACCAACATTCTTTTTGTACTTTTGGGGGGTAGGTTACTGACAAAGTCATTGTCCCTCTCATCCTGGCCTTCGCCCTCTGCAGATCTTGTTATGCTGTTTAGGTTCATGAAGTACAAATTAGCATAATCCGATTAGACTAGCTGCTGAGGGGGTGTCTTTGGTCTGAAAAGCAGAGAGAAGAAAAGTGTCTCACAAAGAGGGGAGTCTGGGAGGGAGGAGAGGAAGGGGTGACAATCACTGCTCTGCTGTGGACCTGAATGCCTGCACCTGCACAAACCCTCTTGTAAGTAAGGACTCTCAGATGGTATTAAAGGGGACTGAGGAGTCCGGGAGCTTGGGGAGGTAAGCACAGGGACGAGAAAGACAAGGCAGCAGCTCTGCATCCCATTAATTGATTTATCTGCATTGGCAAAGCAGAGCTGCTGACAGAAGAGAACGTCCATTTGATTCCTACTCAGCACTGCAAGTGGTCAGCCCCGTAATCTGGCACACCCAGATAACGTCTTAGAGTCTCTGCAAGAGACTGATAAGGGGTTTACTCGTGGGAAACAAAGTCCACTGGATGCTTGATATCAGTGCTTTCTGAATAGGCCTCCTGTATGTTTCTTTTATTTCTGGAAAAGGGGAAAAAAAGAATAAAAGCTAGGTGGTAGTAGTGGCTTTAGGCTTTGGGTAATTTGGATTTAAAATCACAAAGACAAAGATAATAATCAACTAATGTAATAGTCGACCCAGGGAAATTTTGATGGAGTGCATCTTCCTCTACTACAGACGATGTGGGTGTAACTAAAGTTTGCATTAGTTTGAAAAATAAGAAACTCTAAGTTATGTGTGGAGTAAGTGTTGAGTTTCAAGCAAACAATTTTTTTTTTTTTTTTTTTTTTGCCATTGTTAAGAGGAAGAGAAATCTTTTCCTCCCCAAAATATGAAGCAGCCCCAAGCACCACTGCTAGGGACTGAATATCAAATGCATCAATTTTCCTCAGGGGACATCTTAGTGTGTCTGACTCTGTGGCACTAACTTCTGGATAATGTTTCCTTTTTCGTGTCATTAAAAAGACTCCAGATCACCAACAAAATTACTCTGTACTTTTTATTATTTCAAATTTATTTTAATCACTGAGTGTTAGCAGTGAGCATTTCTTTCACAGGAAGTTTCAACTCTTGAAGGCAGAAGAAATGGTCAGAGAAATTTGACCTTTGCTCACAGTAGACCTGGGTTCAGAGCCTCGCCTTCCTGTTCGTGCCTGTGTGTCCTCAAGTTGTCTGTCAGACTCTTCCAGGCTACAGCTTCTCCAGTCTGTACGCTGGAGCAAGAATCTCGGTTACCTAGTTGTTTAGGATGCTTATAAAACTTCTCTGGCCCATGAAAGATACACGATGAGTATTAATAACCCTTACTTATGTAGACTTTGACTTCCCTCTCAACACAAACCTGCCATATCCAGATACACTTGTGTCACACATCCAAGGTGTGTGAAGATCCTCAAGCACATCAAAATTTGTAGCCTCAAGAGCCATCTTTTCTCCACTTTACCACAAAAAGACATCCTATTGGAAATAAGTTAGCTAGAATCTTACCTTAATTTTGGTTGACACCTGTATCCTGCTTCTTTGTTGAGCAGGTTAATTTTTCTCTTGTGGGTGCAGCTCATTCTGCTTTTCCCATGGGTCTTATATCCTGAGTAATTTTTCACACTTCTGGGTCAAATATAGGGTACAATATGGTGTTAGTTATGCCAAACTACAACAATATTCAGCACTATCCTCTTCCCTCAATTTCTTGCACCAGAAGTCTCAAAGATAGGCGCTCACAGCAAGATTTTATTTTTTTTTATTTTATTTATTTATTTATTTATTTATTTTTTGTCTTTTTCCTTTTTATCGGTACCGGGGATCGAACTCACGACCGCCTGCTTGCAAGGCAGGTGCTTATGCCACTGAGCTAAATCCCCAGCCCCCAAGATTTTAAAGTGAATCCTGGGTGAGGGATACAGCTCAGCAACATGGCATCTGCCTGGAAAGTGCGAGGTCCTGAGTTTTATTTCCAGTTCAAACACAAGGGAATCCTAAAGGGAAAAAAAAAAAAAAAAAAAAAAAAAAAAAAAAAAAAAAAAAAAAAACCTCAGCATAAAGAAAAATTTTTAACTATGAATCAAAAAATAGAACCACTGAACTTGGTCATACATGCCTGGATCCCAACACTCAGGAGGTGAGGCAGGAGGATCATTGCAATATAAGGGCCAGCCTGGGCTACAGAGTGAACCCAAGTCCAGCCTGAACCATATAGCGAGACCTTGCCTCAAAAAGCCAAAAAAGAGAAAAACAAAGCAAAACAAAATATATAACCATAAAATTGATGTTTTCTGTATTAATTGAATTCTTACATATGGCAAATAGCACAAATAAAACCATAAGAAATACTGGTGGGAAATAGTTATAACTCACATTATAGAAAAAGGGTTGATTTCCATCTATAAAAAGGTGCAGAAACTGGAAAGAAAGAGATCACTTTAATGGGGAAAAAAGGCAAAGGATATCTAACAGAAACAGAAACACAAATGACCCACGAACATATGACAGGCTCACTCATAATAAAATATGCAAATTAAAACCACATTGAGATAACATTTTCACCTACCAGATTGGCAAGTGTCCCAGCAACTGTCTACACAGTCTGTAGGTAAATTATGCATAAAAAGGGATGCCCATGTTCCTGCTAAGAGTGCATTATTCTACAGATGTACAGTATCTGCTGGATTGGGAAATCAAGTGTGTCGAAGAGTGTTTATTATAGCACACTGGGAATAACCCACGGGTTCCACAGTGTGACACACTGATTATATACTGTATCCACATGAGGTAAAACATGCAGATACTTTAAAAGGGTAAGGAAGTCCTCTCTGACTTAGGAAGAGCTCTAGCATATAGTGCTCAGAGGGAAAAAGGGGGCCTTAAAAGGAAAAACCAAAAATTTATAGTTATATTTGCATAAAGAACCACTGATAAAAAGGTGTGGAAGGGGTTCGTAGATGGAAAAAGACAGAAGCAAGTCTTTTTAATCTACATCAAAAGCAATGGAAATTTTTGTTTGTTCATTTTTTTGTGGCTCTGGGAATCAGACCCAGGACATTGTGCATGGAGGATGTACTCTACCGTTGAGAGTTAACCTCAGTGGAACTTTGATTCTGAGTCCTGATAAGTAAATTTTCTAATCAGCAATATTTTTAAAAGAAAAAATCTAACTTACTAATTCTATTTTCACTCTCCTTTTGTTTTCTTTAATAGGCTTGGAAAATAACTTTCTGCACGTATCATTTTCCTTTATTATCTCAATATCTTAAACAATATTATTTCTGAAATACAGAAAGTAGAGATTTCTTTTTTTGTTTTGTTTTGTTATGTTTTTAAGACGAGGTCTCACTGTGTTGCTGAAGAGGGGCTCTTTCATAATTCAGTCTTCATGCAGTGCCTGTGTAGGGAAGGAGAGGGTCTGTGTAAGTCAGTGTCTAGCACAATTACACCCTCACAGATGCACTGCACATAGGTGAAAAGAGAACACGTTTGCATATCCATACAGTAAGTACACACATACGCATACAGCAGAAGAGCAAATCAAATCTTGATTTATTTAGTGAGAGACAAAACATTTACACTGGAGTTATCTGGCTAGTACTCCACTGCCACCAAATGCTGTTAGTAACCAGGAGATTGTATGCATGGTAGTCTTTCTGAGTCTAAGAGCTTTAATTCTACAAAAGCTCTACATGAAACATACAAAGAGAGCAAGAATGCAATCTCATACCTAGTTAGGAAACCGGTTCATTTCCTTAAATCTTTCTTCCTCCCCACCTCCAGAGAAGCTAAAACCAGGACAGTAGGAACCCTGGAGGAGCCAGGGTGGCGATCAGGTTGGGAAAGGGCTGAGACAGGGCTACCGTGGCCCACATACCGCTGTGAAAAGATCAGGCAAAGCATGGTTGATGGCAGTGACAACAAAACGCGAAACTGTCTCCTGTCGCAGCACACCAAGTACAGACGGGAACCACCCAGTTGCACCCGCAGCCCTCACGCTCAGTAGGACAGTAGGACAGCTCCCTCACTGAGTCTCAAGCTGTTCTAACTCCAGCTTGGTGCTTCTGAGCAGGGAGATTTTTCCTCCCAAGGATCATGGTATTTGTTTTTCCAATAGTGTACTGGGTAGTATACCTGGCCCATGAGGTCATATTAATGCAATGAAAGTTACAAAGAATTAAGAAGGTAAAGAAAAATTCTGTGAAAAGCTACTCTGGCTTGACTCTGTATAATGTAGTCATTTAAAGTAAAAATGACTACAGGATGAATTCTGGCTCTGCAGTAGAAATTTAGACAACTTAGATACATTTCCACCCTTAAGTGCTCTCACTTGTGAAATGGGAACAATAGTAATATAATATATAATGTATAATATGATATATATATAATACTGCCATGAAGATTAGATGAGCTATACATTCAAAGCTCTTGATACAATGCATGGCAGAAAGTAAGCATTTAGACATTACCTTATGTATATTGTAAAAAATTATTAATTAGATACTCATGTGCATAATTATTTTATATGTATTCATCCCCCACCCAAAAGATAAGACCTTGCTCTATGCCCCGGCTGGCCTTTAACTCCTGAGCACAAGCGGTGGTCTTGCCTCAGCCCGCTGAGTGGCTAGCACTACAAGTACATGCTACTATGCTTATTTCATGTACATAATTTTTTTAGACAGGGTCTGGCTATATATTTCAGACTAGCCTCAAATTCACAGCAATCCTCCTGCCTCAGCCTCCTCAGAGCTGGGATTACAGGCATGCACCACCATGTCCGGCCATGTGCATAATTCTTTCACCATAATTCTGATCCCTATTTTATTATGCTAAACTCCTAGAAGGCTAATTACATAGGTCCAAGAATGTGAACATATTTACTACATCATACTACGTTTTTATAGTTATCCAGTAAAGACTATTCAACAGTTTTCTTCATTAGTCTTACCAGGGAATTGCTAAATTCTGGAAATTAATTTCTTAAAACAAATGTTACCTGATAGATTATAAATTTGACTAAAGTTTATATAAAAATCTGGTCATTTTCAACAGGTTTTTTGTGATTGGCCATTAGCAAGAAACAGAAATAAGATGAAGAGTCTCCTCACTTCTGGTAAGCTGTGGAGAGCACAGAAGTGGGCATGTGGCTCAGCAGGCCTTGCCCCTGCCCTCCAGCCTCCCATAATCCTTAGCAACATCCGTTCCTTGGCATGCCTTTCCTAACACCTGCTCCACATCTCTCATTTTGCATTGCCATTGACTTTCAGATCCCTTCCATATCTTTGACCTTTTCATCTAAGGATGTGACTTTTGGCTGACCTCTGGCCCTTGGGTCAGCAGTTAAGCTGTCCATTCTCCAGAACCCTTTCAGCTTCTGTCTCTTTAAGGACAAAGCCGGTCGTGCATAACTTGTACATGGTTTGGACATCAAGAGCCAATTCTTAGGTGATGAAATTTCACAAGGCAGGTGCTGCAGGGGGCAGCCCTGAATACAAATTACGAGAAGCAAGCTTTTAAGACAAGCGTTAGACATTGGGTTTCTCTGGAAAGCTCACCCAGTTCAAGCTCATTTTAATGTTATTTTAAAAGAAGCCAAAAGACTGTTCTAAAGAGCCAATTCTTGTGTAGCTTCGCGTTTTGAAAATGGATGTTTGCAAGGCTGTTGTGAGAGTTAAATATTAGACACTGTCGCTGTCCGCAGGCCTGGTGGCGTATGCCTATAATCTCCACACTGGCAGGCAGGGGGCGGGAAGATTGCAAGTTTGAGCCTAGCCTAGGCTGCTTAACAACTTAATGAGACCCAGTCCCTCCGCATTCCCCTAAACCAATCTAGGAACAGAGCTAATGCAGAATCCTTGGGTTTGAGCCTCATTACTGCAAGAGAAAGAAATGAACAAATAAAAGAAACTGTCGCTGACCTCAAGTAGATTTCAGCTTTCTAGGGGGAACAGAATGGACAGTGATGTCTACAGTACAAGGTGGAAGAAATGAGGTTATAAGTTAGACAAGGGAATGCTGCGAGATAGAGGGAGACTAGAGCAAAAAGTAAAATTCCAAGACTGCTTCATGTGAGAGACATTGTTTAAAACGAACCATGAAAGGCTTTTGCAAATGGAATTTAGCACAGCTGGAAGATGAGTAGAATCAACAAAACTAGAATGTTCAGCCCAGCATTTGACCAAAGTCAAGTCAGAAGGAAATAGAGTAACAGACTTGGATCATCAAGGGAAGCAGGTTCACTGGCATATGCAATACATGGAGGGATTGTGGAAAGCATTACGGAGTGATGTCAGTGCCAGACTGCAGGAGGCCTGGCATGCTGGGGTATGGCGTTTGTCTGAAGGCTTGGTAGCAAGGAAATGAGCTGACTACTACAATGACTTGGGAATTAGGACGGCCAGGAAACCATGGGAAGGGTGCAGAGCAGTGGGTGGGGTAAAGGGAGACTTTGGGTGCTGGTACATTTTTTGCCTAATGACAACGGGAACATGGAAAGTGAAAGGATTTTGCCCTGGGTGGGAAGCTGCAGCGGTGGGAGGCTGGGAGGCAGAACCAAGGGGCTCTATCTTGAGGTCACCTTTCCCACCCCTAAGCAATTTACCTGTGGCGTGAAATAAATTCCAATGGGCTACCTTTTCCTTCAATAATGCCCCTTAGGCACCACCCCAAACCTAAGCTATGTGTATGCCCCCACACCATGTGTCAGGCAGAGAAAAAGCCAGACCCCAGAGGTCATGGAGTCTCTCTCCACATTCTTAAAATAAAGGCCACTTTTATTTCATATATCTTATCTTTTTAGCCATGCCGAAAATTCTATTAGAGAGAAGGGGTAGGTATGCTTGGTAAATTTATGAAATCATAAGGAAAGAACAATTTTTCTCAAATAATTTATTTGCAATAAGTTAACAGTTAAATAGGAAATTACAATCAATGGTGAAAAACTCACAAAACACACCAACAGATAAAATCTTTGGTTGATACATCTAATCACATAATTCTATTTCAGTGAGAAGCATAGATTACTGTACACTTTGGAAAGGAGATGACCATGATGATAAGAAGTCTGTTCACTTTTTAATCCCCTAATGACTGAACGGGACAGTGGTAAGAGTGGGTGCAGGATAGGAGACACGGCTCTGTGTCCTGGGTTTCTGCTGTGTAACCTTTGGAAGGTCACTTGAAAACCTGCAGGACCTGCTTTTTCCTCTGCAACATGAGGAAGTGAAGTTAACCAAACAGACAGTGAATACAAATCAATAGATCTATTTATACCTGGCTTCTGGAAGTTTCCAGTGCTGCCCATAGCACACCAAATTCTTCTGATCAAGTGACAGTAAACTGATTCTGGATAGAACAGAAAAACCCATATTCACTTATGCAAGTGCTTTGTGTTTCCCATGGCAATGTGTTAAAATAAAGCTAATAAAAAATAGTGTTAAAAATGTTATTTTGGCTTAATGGCAGATGAGAGTAATAACATTCAACTGCTAACTGTCACTGAAATTCTGAAATGCACTATCTGATAATTTGAGGACAAGCTTGAATCCATCTAAGCTATTGAGAAAAACATGCACATTCAAGGGGGAATTCCTGTTCTCGGTGTTTATGTGTTTCCCTGAACTACACTGGGTCCATGGGGAAGCTCACCGACTGCAGGTTAAATAAAGGATCCAGAAGGAAGCCTGGCGTTACAAGTGCAAAGGCCGTTTAGACACTAATGACCTGATGACCTTGCTACTAGGGGGAATGAGATTATGAAAAGTCACCAAGCACTTTTCTCATTGCCAAACTAGAAGGCTCATTCTGGTCTTTCATAAATAACATACTTTCTTTCTAGAGTAGCAGGAAATTTACCTGTATTACACAGGCATTGGAATTCTTAACCTCACATCCACAGATATCCCATGTGGGGTTCAGAAGATTTTACAACCAATGTACTGTCAAGAACTTTGGGGAAATAAAATGTCCTAGAGATTATTAAATGATCTATCTGCATTCTGAGCTCAGTTAAGGGATTTATCTTTGACTCTAAGAAGCAGCAGGATCAAGATGTTGTGTGGTAATGAGTTTTGCCAGGTCCAAGTAATTTCAGTGACTTTTGGGGTACAATCCCCACCCCAGCATAAGATTAAGCTAATGCTCTACAAAACAGAAGGCAAATTCCAAATTCATTAGTTCATTAGTGTCTGGCATTATATTTCTATTGTTTATTCTAATTTGTTTAAACTAAGTTGTTAAATGAATCATTAAATGGTAATGTTAGGATTTTCATAATGAAAAGTGAATTTTACAGGTTTTCAGTCAGCGGAAACTCAGGCTGAGTTAAGAGGGTTTTTTTGTTTGTTTGTTTTTTTGTCTTTTTCATTTTTATCGGTACCAGGGATTGAACTCACAACTGCCTGCTTGCAAGGCAGGCGCTTATGCCGCTGAGCTAAATCCCCAGCCCCTTAGTTAAAAGTTTTAACACCTGACATGAAACTAAGAGGTTTGCTGAATTATTTGAGCTAACTTTTGTTTTTTTAATAAGAAAACCGTGAACTCTAACCGATAAATCATCAAACCTTTCCTTTTACAGATGCAATCCACTATTGGCTTTGGAGTTAACATGTACAAATGGCTCCCCATCAGTAAGCACCTCGCATTTCCACAGAATTTAAAGAATGTGTTCCGCAGGAGGAAGAATGTAATCCCATTCCTCAGGAGGGCCTTCCTCCACCGATTTTCCCACACATCTCTCAGGCTGGTTTTTGCTGGGCGTATCTTTCATTCATCAATCTTAAGATTTATTTTGTTTGCCTTTGATCAAATAGTCTCATTTTTCAACACAAACTTTTAAATATGTTCTGAGGAAAACATACTCTGCTTATTCATCTGAGATGTATTTTGAGAAAACTCCTTTCTTATTACTGAAGACAATGATCAAAATGGTAGATTTTTAAACCTATGATTTTTTTTGCAAATATTTATGCAGAGCCTGGATTTATAAAATAGGAGGAGCAGGCTGTTTTGCCTGAGGCGTCAGCGGGGAATGGAAGGAATCTAGGGCAGTGTTCTCCTTAGGCTCTTCTCAGCTCTCTGAGAGAGAGACTCCAATGAAGCCCAAATCCGTGCCTCACCGGCTATTCATCAAGGCCAACCTGGACCGTGAAAAGGCTGGCCTCAGCCAGTGACACCTGCACAAGTGCTGCCCTGGGAGAGGACGGCCACAGCCACGCTACAGAAGGTGGTGGCTCGGGCAGGGTGAGGAAACCCGGTAGTCACTGAGTACAGTGCTACCCTCCAATTCGGGCAGGCGAGGTCCTTGGGGGAAGAGGCCCAGGAGGTCTCCCTGAGCAGCCACTGTCGTTGGCGGCAGGCTTGGCTCCCCCAAGATCTTGACCAGAAAGTTGATGTACCTCATCGCCAGGCGAAGGGTTTCGTTCTTGCTCAGCTTTTTGTCTGGAGGGTGGGTGGGGATGAGCTTCCTCAGCTTGGCAAAGGCGCTGTTCACGTTCTGCTGCCTCCAGCGCTCCCGCGTGTTTGTGAAGAGCTTCCTGGTCATCTCTGGGTCTCTGAGTGGGAAACAGAACCGGCCCTATGGGCCGAGATCTTATGAGAGGCCTGAATGGTATCATACGTCCTGCCAAGAACTCGCAAGCAAATTTTATCAATTGGGATTTTAGGAAATTTATTTTGATTTTCTGATTTTTAGAATCTTTCTTCTATTAAGAAAAGAAAATGCAGTAGAAGAAAGAAGATAAGAATAAGATCCTCCAGGCTTCTTCTCCCTAGGTGCTTTGAGGCCCTCGGTTACAAGGTTATTTCATCCCAGTAACCCAGTTACCTTCTGTATAACCAATGAGAACCAGTGCGGTATAGAACTGTGCATATATGTGCATGGCCCTGACCCTGTTTTATAGTTTTTATTTTGCGACAAAGTCTCAGTAAGTTGCCCAAATGAGACTTAACCTTTTGATCCTCTCAGTTTCTCAGAGTGCTGGGATTATAGCTACGTACCCTTGTGCCCAGTTTATGGTAGATTCCTAAAAAGATTTTTAAAAAGAAAGCTGTGGTCTCAGATTTCATGAAAAACATGAGGTAGGGACTGAAGAAGATAGGCTAGTTCTCCTCAGCTGGGGACTGTGGTCCGCTCTGCAAGGGTTAAAATGTGTAGGCCGGCCACATTCAGGGGAGGATGAGCAGAGTGAGAAAGGGTTTTCACCCTCGGTGTGTGAAGAACAGAACAGGGATATTAACCATGACAAAAGTGAGAAGCCCTGGGACAGGTGGAGGTGATCTTTTCACTGCATCTTGGAGATTGCTCTAGATAACCTTTCCAACGCCAGGAGAAATTCTGCCAAATCTAATTCTGCTGTCTTTACTCTTTGACGTGTGTGGGCCCTTTTCTCCAGGTGGCTTGGCTTAACATCGTTACTGGAAACTTTAGGAAGCACTGGCAAGCAAGCCAAAGCCAGCCCCAGGCAGTCCGGTGTCCTGGCTCTCTGCTGCCCGCCTGCTGCCCACCCCAGTCCCAGCTCCTCAGAGCACTGGGCCTCTCTGTTTTCTTAGTTGTTAACTCCAACTCTCTGCACATGCCAGTTTCTCTTCCTCGAATTCCCTCCCATATTCTGCTCACCGAGTTCTGCACATTCTCCAAAGGACAGCTACATTCTTCCCTTTCCACCAAGCCCAGGCCGAATAGGAGGCTTCACCTACCACTCTCCGGGGAGGGTGGGCAGGGACACTGAGATGCAGAGACACTGAGCTGCAGCAGCTCCCAGGCAGTGAGTCACACCATCGCTGGGGCAACCGCCAGTACAGTGTGCCAGAAGCTTTTGTATATGGGCATTCAAAAAATTACATGAGATATTTGATCCTTTATTATAAAATAGGCTTTATATTAGATTGTTTTGTTCAACTACAAGTGTTCGGAGCACATTTAAATTAGGCTAGGCTAAGTTGTAATGTTTGCTAGATTAGGTATATTAAATACATTTTCAATTTCTGATATTTTTCAGCTTATGGTGGGTTGTTAGGGTGCAACCACATCATAAATTGGGGAGCAGATGCATTGTGCTGCCTGCTGGGTCATCGGGACATTAGGAGAGAGAAACATGGGCTGGAGGAGCAGAAAACTGGAACCTAACCAGGCATTCTCAGGAGCTTCCACGCAGACTACATATATCCCCTTCCAAGATTTCAGGGGTGGACCAAGTGACCACCCAGGCCTCCTCCTGCCCTGGCATGCCACAAAGCCCTGCATTTTGTCTAACTGAAGTCCTTTTGATATTCAGATCTTTAGTTCAACAATCAAACTATGAGCATTGTCAGAACTGTACCCTAACGATACATAAAATGGGGAAGTCTCAACCTGAAGCAAGAGATTTTAAAATAGAAAACTATCAAGTTTTGTTCACACTGGAGTCAGCCAGGACTGTGGGAGCCAAATTACTTTCAAGTTTCTCTTGTCAAGAGAGGGTTTAACTCATTCACTAAGTCAACTCTAGTCCCTTGGCACGGGTGGGGGGGGGTGTCTAATTCAAGCTGGGAGGAAAAAAGATTAGGCAAGATAAACTGGCTGCTGTGTCCTCTTCTAAGAGGGCTGGATGTCACTGCAGTAGAAGCAGACAGAAGAAACACAAGAGAAAATGTAGAAAATGGCTCTACAATGTAGCCTCTCATCCGAAGGGTGCTTAATAATTACTGTTGATTTAATCTCAGATGTGTTATTCTCCTTCTCTGTGGGCAAAAGGGAAACCAGTGGTTCAACAAGCCTGAAAAGATCAAAGTAGAGGTCACTAGGAAATTACTGAAGTAGTTCTTAAATAGAAGGAAAATTGCATTTAGGGTTTTGCCAGTTGCAAGGACCGATTGCTGCTAATCCTGATTTAGAGTAATGTAACAGCTAAAAATAACCCAAAAAAACAAAAAACAGATGCCACAGATGGCTGTCAAGACAAGGGTGAAAAGCATTTAGTCACACAGGGAATCAGTGGTTGAACTGGAGTCCCAAACCTGGGCATGTATTTATACATTTCTTTTACCATCGAGGACCCACTAGGTCAGGGTTCAAAACTTTGTTTTGTTACATGGATCCTTTTGGCAGTCTGGGAAAGCCTACAGACAATCCTTTCAGAGCAGTAATTTTAAATATATAAAGTAAAAGCTTTTGGTTTCCTTCTCAGACTGATTTTAAGTGCATAAATTAAAATAGAGAACACAGAAAATAGCAGTTATTAAAATCCTGTAATTAAAAATGCAATTTTTGAATATATGTGCTTCATTTTTCACATTAAGTAACTAGAATTATTACTATAATTTCCAAGAAGTAATATTTTAATGATTTTTCCCAAAAGATCATCTGTATCTATGATTTCTATTGGTGATCAGTTTACCACTACTGCCTTGCCTGTACTACTGTATTGTACTACTGTACTGTAAATTGTAGTATTTTAATAACTACTAAATATAATTGGTTATTTTAATTTATGCATTTAAAATCATTAGTCTGAGCAATGCATGAAACCCTGAGTTTGATCCCCAGCACTGTAAAAAGAAAGAAAATAATTATTCTAAGACAGAAACCAGGGCTTTTTAGTGCATGCAAAACCATGCTAACATTACTTTATTACCCACAGCTGTAAATAAAGGAAATACTACATTTAGATTAAAGATCAAAGAACTTATGTATGTACTGTTTCTCCATCCAAATTCATACAACCCCTGAAGTCTTTCTAAACCTCCTGTTAAGGACACCTGGGCTGGAGGAATGTCACGGTATAAACAGTGAAGGCAGAGATGACTGTCACCTCTGAAGTTATGCAATCTGACACTATGCCCCACAGGGAGACCTGTGCCACCAACAGGAGCTGCTGCTCTTTGGTACCAGTGATTCCTAAACATAAAGCCCAGGTCCACTAGAGAGGGCACACAACAGGCCCACAGCTCCCATGCCTCCCAGGACCACTGCAGGCCTTTGAACTCTACAGCTCTTTTTCATAAAGCTTTCGATTTTCTTCCTTCATTTGGCCCTGCGTTTCTGTCTCTTCTTTAATCTTTCTCTTAAAAGTAAGTGAAAGTACTCTTGAGGAAGAAAGAGAGAAGAGTGGTTTACACAGTTAGACTAACCTCCAGCACTAGGCACAGCATTGCCTTTTGCAATTAAAGAAATGTAACGTGTGCATTATGGAGGGAAAAGTACAGAAGGGGTGAAAGATTCCCCAGTTGTTTACCTCCCGAATCTATCTCATCCCCTAGCCACGGCCAGTTTGACGTGTATATTCACATATGCACTGCTGTATACTCGCATACTTTAAAACTCACGGTGCCTATCATTACGCAGGTTAACGTTTCCCACTTAGGCGGTTCGGAGGGTGTGTTACAGGAGGGCGCGCTGTGAACCCCTCTCGGGGAAGACCCCAGGTGGGAGCCACCTGATCCAAGGCGAGCTCAGCGCCCTGCTCAGCAGCTGCCCTTCCTCCTGAGCTGCAGGCCCCTTGCTCAACCTGCAGGCTGCTTGGCCGCTCCGCTCTCGCCTTTTCCTTTTCCTTTTTCTAACTGGACTTTTCCTAGCAACGCCTTGCCCTGACCCAGGCGAGTGCCCGAGGTCGCCCTGGCGCCCTGGTGACAGCAGTAGCACCGCCTCTCCTGTCAAGCTCAAGTGGCTGCGCCAACTCTCCCCGGTGCCAGTGCCGAGGAAAGTCCCCGGATCGTCGCTCCAAGTCGCCGCCACATCCCTGCCCTCGCGAGTGAGTGTGGCACCAACTCGGAGCACTCAGGAGAGAGCTGCGGATCCCTCGAGTCCACCCCGGCGTCAACGCACCTCCTTGCCAAGAGCGGGAGCCCGCGCCGTCGCCGCAGCGTCCCCGAGGCGGTCGCCGGCCGTGTGCGCCCTCGCCTGGACGCCGCGGAGGCCTCCGCCGCCTTTATAGGACACCGCCCTTTGTCTCGGGGCCCAGGACCCCTCCCGGCCTGCGACAGCCTCCCCGCTTCCAGGACCTGGTTTCCCCAGACAGCCGTCCCACGGGATGGGGCAGGGGGAGGACCCCGCTTTTTATTAAGGCTTAGGGGGCGGATGGGGTAGTGACAGCTTTAAAACCCCCTTTTCCAGGGAAGCACGGGCTGGTAAACTTCCTATCCGTTGTTAATTCATCGCATGTCAATCCAAGCCCTAAGCAGTGGAGTCCAAAATCCTGCTTCAGAGGCATTGTGTGTAGGAGGTAGGGGGACACAGACTCCAACACTCACAGCCCAAACCCTGTAAATCAGGATTTGTGGAAATGGGGTCCGCCACATCTGCATGCTTACGAAGTACCCCTGAAATTAAGATGCACAATAAAGTTGAACAATCATTGCACTGCGCAGATTCTCCAACTTGTTCATCTCTGTTTCCACCTGGCCGCACAAAGACTTGCTGATTTCCGTGCAGGAGAGGCCCCTCATCCCTCTTTCAGATTTTACACTTGCCTTCTTTCTGTCCTCCTGTCACCTGCAATGATCCTAGGAAGCCCGAGTTTAAACTCCTGCTACTGAGTTACTCCAAACCCTTTGATAGTTCTGCAC